GTGTCATTGCCTTTTTTTGTGGTAAGGGTAAACTGTAATAACTATTTGGAATCTAAAAGTGTTAAGGTAGTCCAGATTTTTGCATCTCAAAACTATGCGAAATACTGGTCATGAGCAATACTGAAATGGTGCAAGCGAGACTATTTGAATAAAAAGAGAGTATCAGGTAGAATAAAACACCACTTGATCCATCTACCTTAAAGCATCCCCCATTGCCCACTACTGTCTTGGTTTTTATGCTGCATTGATTTTATAGAAGTTATTTGACGTGCTAAGTGAAAAAAAGCCACTAAAACCACAGGTTTTAACCCAATCAATTTGTCTACACTAGACTTCAGCAGGTGCTTAAGTGACAACTACAGTTTAAAAGGAATGTGCAAGTGTTAGTTTAGACTACAGCCAAGAAAGATTTGTATCTTTTGGATCAAATTTAGGGTTAGGTACATGCAAAACTTCCAGTGTGCAGAGACAAGTCAGATATTTTCACAGGTGTACAATATGCACCTAGAAGTGTCATGGCATAAAATTAGATGCAAATACGCATGTTTCTTGAAAGAGATGATCTTTGGATAACAGGCATTTACAGTGCCATGACACCTAATCTAATTTTAGAACTAACTAGCTAGATTTTTGGCACCAGTAAAAGCCTAACGACAGCAATATAGGCTCAGCACAGTTTAGTTTTAAAGTGTAGACAGCAGTCACTTTGGGCACAGTGGAGAAGTACCCTAAGCTTTGCCTTTTTATAAAAAAACAAGACTCTCGCAGTAGAAAGGACTTCCCCATTTATTCTGTCATCTTAGATGCAAGATTAGCAGACAGGGACTTGCTCATCAAGTTTTTCACAACTGCTTTATGCAGAATTCTGAGGCTCATTTAGAAGTACAAATATTAGACATACCTTCAGCAAATCCTCAACCACATTCGCATGTCCAAAATAGCATGCAAGATGAAGAGGGGTCCAACCCAAATTAGATTTACTCCTGCCTAAAAGCATGAAACAAACAGGTAAATAGGTTTGTGAACAAGACGAAGTATGTTTAGTGCAAATTAATTTCTTCCCGTCTCAAACATAAAATATGGATAGGAATTCTCTGCAACAAGAGCCATATATATAGTTATAACCTAAATGAGACCTGCTGATTAGACAGATGTTTATAGAGACAACAGGACAAGGCGTTTTTTAATCCATCAATTAATACAGCACTAGAGCTTCTCTTTAAAGGCACTCTCTCAGATGAGGGCCATCCAACCTCCAAGCAGACAGGGACAACAGTACAAGGGCTGCAACCTGCCATGCTCCCCCTCTCCTCCTCCTGCTACTGTACTGCATGCAGTTAGTCCCATCCCTGTCTCCCCCTCCCAGCTATGGGGCCAGGCTGGAACAGCAGTGCTGGCTCTGAGCCACTGTTATGGGGCCAAACTGAAGCCATGCTCGGTATCCTAGGCTGCAGTAGGGGTGGAGCCTGATAGCACAGAGCAAAGGTAAGGAGTATAGCAGAGAGAGGGAGAATTGGTGGGGGAAGACTGGGGAGGAGCACCAGGGCAAGCAGAGGGAGGGGAGACAGGCAGCAGCTGTGGCTCTGGGTTGGGAGCTGAAGTCATAGCAGTTGTCCCCCTCCCCCACCTATTTAAAATGGAAGCGGGGGGGCCACTCATCGTCCAATTGAGTAAATACAGTAACTGCTCTTATTCAAACTGTCCTGGCATATGCTTACAGGGAAATTTGCCACCCAAGATGCTGAGAATCATTTATGGCCCCATCTTTAACAGGAACATAATGTTGCTGTCTGTACAGGTGAGAAGTGAGATGGCAAAACAAGAACAGCAGTATGGTCATTTACACTATATAGATACAAACTAAGTTGCCTTGAGAAGGCAGTACTATTTAGATACTTTGAATTAACTTTGTATATGATAGCTCAGAAACTAGAGACAGCAAAATTGCATTAGCAGGACACCCTGCCCAGGATAATTAGATATCGCCTTAGTTTTCATCATTTTTGTTTTTACAGGGAGCTTGCAAAAAGAGCCCGAAGCTGGTTTCAAAGAGCTGTTAAAACAGAGCTTGTTGAAAAGAAAAAAGTTTGAAGAAATTCAGGTTTATTATAACTGTGTTCTAAACAGCAATCCTATTAGGGCAGCTACCTCAAGGCTGTCTGCATTAGAGCAATACTGTACTGAAAGTCCATTATTGAACTCCCTTTACTTGTAACCAAACACTGACTAAACTTTTCCCTGATGCAGAGCCAGCTACTCCTGTGCTTCAAACCTAGGCTTTTCTTTCTGAAGTGTTATGGTTAGCTAGTAAGCTTAAACAAAGGATAAAGAGCCTTCTCTAGGGAGAAGATATTGATTTTCTGTCTCTCTACAAGATTGAGGCATTTATCCAGTGCTTGGAAACTGGCTTTCTTGAGTGCAAGAAGAAAACAAAGTAATTCCTGACTAGCTGCTATTTCAGGCTTATAAGCAGGCTTATGATAGCAGCTGAGCAAAGTCCCCGTTTCCCACCCCCCAATTGGACAGTTTCCCCTCTTTAAGATCAAAGTGGTCTATATTTCAGATGAAGCTGGTCCAAGTTCATTGGGGGTAAGTGGGGGTTAAAATAGATCTTTTCCACATGAGTATGATACAAGGCTTTTGGATGAGATTTGAACCTATCTTTATCCAAGATGCTTTTAGCCCTACAGTAGCAAAAGGCTCAGGGCTAATCAAAGCAACTGCCAACCCTGCCTAGACACAAAACACTCCTGCCAAAAGCTCAGGTTTCTTAGCCACCCCTACTCTTCTCTCCTGCTGATCTTACACTATTTCTCTCTCTAAGAAGATTTGAAACCATTTGCCCAGTTCAATTCAATGTGCAGCTCCTCCATTTAGAAACGACAGAATCCTAATGCTTGCCTTCATTATAAGAGAAATGCAATATAGGCAATGCAGTGCTTCTAAAAGTTCAGTTTTGAAAGAAGTTGTTTCAAAGTTTTCCCTGATCATATAGAAGACACTGCTTGTGCATAATAAGCATTGGTGTATTCCACAAGTAATAGTTTTGGTGAAAATGAGGGTGTCGTCAGTTTTGATATTAGCAAATTTAACTTTATGGAACAGTAGTAAACAGTTGAAGGTTTTGTTTCCCCCCCCTTCAGTCTGGAAACAGAACTACAGCTTAGACTAAACAGCTAGACTACCACTACAATAATCCCTAAATCAAGGGAGTTTCCTATGGAGCAGAGCTGGAAAAAATAAAGGAATTAAAAAACAAAACAAAACAACAAAACCTACAGAAAGCTGAACTACAGCTTTCCAATTCAGTTTATTTTCTGTAACATTCTACATACAAACATACAAGAAAAAACATGAAACTGCTACAAGGGTTTTAGAATACCTACTTCTTTTATCTGAAGATATATGCCACTGTAATAAAGTACCTTTAAGGGAAAAAGTAGGCAAAAATTCACAGGTATAAATTGATTACTAACTCCAATGAACTCTGCAGACTTTAAACAGGACTGCATTAGGTCAATTTTGTCATCTCAGAACTATTTATCATTCAAGGAAATTCTTCAGTTCAGTGCAACAGATAAGAGATGAGGAAGAGCTGGCCCACATATCAGCTTTGCTTCTTCCATGTCCAAAACACACATCAGAACACGAGGGGGGTGGGGGGAGGGCACCCTCTGCTTCCCATTACCTTGTTTTGAAAAAGTAACAAAAAAAGGTGAAAAGTCTAAAAAAAAATTAAGCAGATTTGGGTACTTAGTTATCAGTTCCATTGCTTTAATAGAACCACTTCACAACTAAAATTTACTGACCACATGATAAGCTACCCTTCCTTTCTGCATTTTGTGCAAGTCACTATGACTACGCAACAGCTAGAACAAAAAAAAAAAAAGGCAATAATCAAACAGCAGATTCTCCCTCATCCTGCTAACAGCAGAACTGTTCTTCATTTCCATTCAGCCGATTCTGTGGCTATAAA